CATGCCCTTGATCAGAATCAAACCTGGGACCTTTCAGTCCACAGGCTGACTCTCTATCCACTGAACCAAACCAGTTTTGGCCATTTAACTCCCTTTCTGGTGATTCCTCTTTTTCTTTCCTTTGGGAATTACTTTTTTGTCTTCCCATGTTTTTCTGTAATGCTTTAATTATAGATCCAATTGCTTTGCTTCCCAGGTTTTTTTTGGGGGGTGGTAATCTCTCGGTTTTCCTGTGTTTGTTAATCTAGTGTAGTTCCATACTTGAGCTATTTGGGTTCTCTTGGTGTAGGCCTGCGAGCTTGAAAAGCACAACTGTGGTGTCTAGGAATCAGCCACTGTGGGGGGGGGGGGGGGGAGGAGGTCCCAATTTTTGCTTTCCTGCACCCCTAATTGTAATCACACTTGCCCTGCATGGACTCACAGTGGGCCCCAGGAACCATCTGTTGGGTTTTTGGGTCTCAGGTGACCTGCTCTTTGGAAAGGTGTGACTATGTTGCCCAGGGTTCTGCAGTTATGGGGTGAGCAAACCCAGCTTTTGTTGTTGCACCTGTGGTGGATAGGCGTTTACTCCCAGCAGCAGTTCACAGGAGCACTCTCAGTGCATTTGTCAGTGAGGCACGCTGAAGGACTCTGAAGGGTTCTGGCAGTGTAGCCGTGCAATTGAGGTACCTGTGGTCATTATCCAGGCTAAGTGAATACAAAGCCTCTACTGCTGGAAAGGAGTGCGCTCCCTGCTTGTTCAAGATTGTCCCCAAAGAGGAGCTCACAGTGACTCCCACTAGCGCCCTATGGTTAGTTGTGCTTGGTGTGACAGGCTGCCAGGGCGGCAAGCTCTCAGGGTGCAGAACTGCGATATACTCCTAGGGGTCCCTGCACTGCCGCTGAGCAGCTAGGGTGAATGTGGCAACCCTCTAGAATAGGGGTGTCGAACTCAATCAGAGAAGGGGCCAAAATCTAAAATCCAGCCTAAATCGCGGGCCGAATGGTTTACTGAACAGTCATAAACTGTCATTGTGATGGAAACGCAGTGGAGTGCAGTGATGACAGCGCGGTGTGGGCCACATTGCAAGGCCTGGCGGGACAGATTTGGCCCGCGGGCCTTGTGTTTGACACATGTGCTCTAGAAAGAGGGAATTCAAATTTCCACTGTTGGGTAGCACGACCCAGTCTGCACAGAAACACACCTTCGGGTGCTTTCGGTGACTCCCTAGTGCCACCCAAGGAGAAGCCTACAAGTGGGAGTAAAGTTTTCAGGCTTGCCTATGGGATGAGGAACATGTATGCCCCTTTCTGCACTGAAACACACCCTCAGGTGTTTTCGGCCTCTCCCCACTACCGTCCAAGGAGACAACTGCTAGCAGGAGTAAGGTTTAGGCCTATCTATGTGATGATGAATGCACACACCCAAGCCCACAGAGAAACACAAGAGTTCTCACATTTCTAGCTGGAATTAGCGAGTTTAAGCCAGATCTGTGCATCTCCAGCCATGCAAATAGCCAGGACACTCCACTCCATAGGCAGTGCTTGGGAGCCACTGAGAGCCCCTGAGGATGTGATTTTGTACAGACAAGGGCTCACGTGGCATGGATCCTCTGGCTGGAAACATGCTAATCTGGAGTTCTGCCACTGGGAAGAGGGGAGGTAGCACTTATGGGAGCCGTTTGGTGTACCTTCGGAGGTGAAAGTCCCAGGGTTTGTAGGTCTACAACTGGGGTAGCAGGACCTTGGCTGGAGTTGCTGCTGGGTGGTGGGGCACTTCCAATGCCTGTCTTGTTGGTGGTGTTGATGAGTTTCTAAAAAAGGCTGTTCTCCCTTTCAAAATGACATAGGCTCCATGCTGGAGTTCTGCTATGGGGGGGGGGGGGGGGGGGGGGGGGGAGTAGGGGGCGTGCAGTGGTGGTAGTCTCTCCTTGTCAAGGAGAGCCTGTCTGCCAGCCCCTGATGCTCCTGCAATTTTTAACTTTCCTTCACTCACTCACACACCCCATGCACATCTACACAAACTCCTTTCATACCCTCACTCATTCATTTCCTTTCCCTCACCTCCATCCTTCCAGCTTCTATCTTTCAAGAACCGGGGCCTCTTCTGTGCCTCCTGAACTTATGTGACATCTTCCTTCACCAAGTTGGGAAACTTTTCTGTCATTATTTCTTTAAACAGGTTCACTGTTCCTTGCTCAAATTCTTCCCCTTCTGGTTTTTCTATTATGCAGTTTTTGCTACATTTCATGTTGTCCCAGAGCTCCTGTAAGCTATCTTCCTATTTTTTTAATTCTCTTTCTATTTTCTGCTCTAATTGGATATTTATTTCTACCTTGTCTTTTTCCAAATTGCTGATTCAATCCCCTGTTTCATTCAATCTAGTTTAAATTACTTCCTGTGTGTTTTCCATGTCAGATATATCAATATTCATTTCTTTCTGAAGAAATGGTTCATATATGGTTCTTCTTCATGGCCTGTATTTCTTTT